TCTGGTTGTTTGCTTTTTCTGTCTCAATTTTGAGTTTTATTTTGGATACAAGTCCCTTGTTAGATATTTGATTTGCAAATATTCCCCCTAGTCTTGTCTTTTTGTTCTCCAACAATATCTTTTATATAGCAGAACATCTGAATTTTGATTAAGTTCAATTTATCTTTTTTTAATTTATAGATTGTGCTTTCCATGTCATATCTAAAAATGTTTTGCTTAACCCAGGATCAAGAACAACTTGCCCTATGTTTTCCTCTAAAATTTTACAGTTTTGCATTTTACATTTAAGCTGATAATCCATTTTGAAAATTCTTGTATAAAGTGTGAGATACAGGTTAAGATTCATTGTTTTATTTATGTCTGTCCAATTATTCAAGCATCAGTTACAGAAAATGGCAATTCTCCATTGAATTGCTTTTATACCTTTGTCAAAAATCAGTTGACCATATATTACTGTGAGTCTGTTTCTGGACTCTCTATTCTGTTACATTGAGATCTGTGTGCATGATTTCACCATTACCACAATCTTGATTCCTGTAGCTTTACAGAATTAGTTGGACTCCTCTAACTTTTTTCTTCTTTCTTAAATTATTTTGGCTATTCTGATTACTTTGTATTATGTATAAATTTTAGAAAAGCTTTTGATATCTCAAAAATAAAAGTCTACTGAGATTTTGATTGTCATTGCAATAAATCTATAGATCAATTTGGGAAGAACTGACATCTTAATAATAATGGGTCTGCAAATCCATGAACACAATGCATGTCTTCATTTATTTAGGTCTTCTTTGATTTCTCTCATCAACATTTTGTATTTTTTAGCATATAAAGGCTGGATGTTCTCCTGGATTTGTACCTAAGCATTTCATTGAGATAATTATAAAAATGATACTTTGAAAATTTTCTGTTTCCAATTATTCAATGCTATGTGGAGAGAAATACATTTGATTTTGTGTATTAATCTTGTATCTAGCAACCATGCTAAATTCACTTAGGTTTATAAGCTTTTTTGTAGAATTCTTGGGATTGTCTGTGTAGACAATATGTCATGCACATAGAGACAGTTTTATTTATTTATTTCTAGTTTATATGTTTTTATTATACTTTAACTTCTAGGGTACATGTGGACAACAAGCAGGTTTCTAACATAGGTATGCATGTGCCATGTTGGTGTCATGTTGGTGACCCATTAACTCGTCATTTACATTAGGTATTTCTCCTAATGCTATCCCTCCCCACTCTCCCCATCCCACAAGAGGCCCTAGGGTGTGATGTTCTCCGCCCTGTGTCCAAGTATTCTCATTGTTCAATTCCCACCTATGAGTGAGAACACATGGTGTTTGGTTTTCTGTCCTTGTGATAGTTTGCTCAGAATGATGGTTTCCAGTTGCGTCCATGTGCCTGCAAAAAACATGAACTTATTCTTTTTATGGCTGCATAGTGTTCCATGGTGTATATGTGCCACATTTTCTTAATCATGTCTATCATTGATGGACATTTGAGTTGGTTCCAAGTCTTTGTTATTGTGAATAGTGCCACAATAAACATACATGTCATATGTCTTTTATAGTAGCATGATTTATAATCCTTTGGGTATATGCCCAGTAATGGGATTGCTGGGTCGAACAGTATTTCTACTTCTAGATCCTTGAGGAATCACCACACTGTCTTCCACATTGGTCAAACTAGTTTACACTCCCACCAACAGTGTAAAAGCATTTCTATTTCTCGACATCCTCTCCAGCACCTGTTGTTTCCTGACTTTTTAATGATTGCTATTCTAACTGGCATGAGATGGTATCTAATTGTGGTTTTGATTTGCATTTCTCTGATGGCCAGTGATGATGAGCATTTTTTCATGTGTCTGTTGGCTGCATAAATGTCTTCTTTTGAGAAGTGTCTGTGCATATCTTTCACCCACTTTTTGATGGGGTTGTTTGTTTTATTCTTGTAAATTTGTTTGAGTTCTTTGTAGATTCTGGATATTAGCCCTTTGTCAGATTAGTAGATTGCAAAAATTTTCCCCCATTCTGTAGGTTGCCTGTTCACTGTGATGGTAGTTTCTTTTGCTGTGCAGAAGCTCTTTAGTTTAATTAGATCCCATTTGTCAATTTTGGCTTTTGTTGCCATTGCTTTTGGTGTTTCAGACATGAAGTCCTTGCCCATGCCTGTATCCGGAATGGTATTTCCTAGGATTTCTTCTATGGTTTTTATGGTTTAGGTCTAACATTTAAGCCTTTAATCCATCTTGAATTAATTTTTGTATAAGGCATAAGAAAGGGATCCAGTTTCAGCTTTCTACATATGGCTAGCCAGGTTTCCCAGAACCATTTATTAAACAGGGAATCCTTTCCCCATTTCTTGTTTTGTCAGTTTTGTCAAAGATCAGATGGTTGTAGATTTGTGGTATTATTTCTGAGGGCTCTGTTCTGTTCCACTGGTCTATATCTCTGTTTTGATACCAGTACCATGCTGTTTTCGTTCCTGTAGCCTTGTAGTATGGTTTGAAGTCAGGTACTGTGATGCCTCCAGCTTTGTTGTTTTTGCTTAGGATTGTCTTGGCAATGCAAGCTCTTTTTTGGTTCCATATGAACTTTAAAGCAGTTTTTTCCAATTCTGTGAAGAAAGTCATTGGTAGCTTGATGGAGATGGCACTGAATCTATAAATTACCTTGGGCAATATGGCCATTTTCACAATATCGATTCTTCCTATCCATGAGCATGAAAAGATCTTCCATTTATTTGTGTCCTCTTTTATTTCATTGAGCAGTGGTTTGGAGTTTCCCTTGAAGAGGTCCTTCACGTCTCTTGTAAGTTGGATTCCTAGGTATTTTATTCTCTTTGTAGCAATTGTGCATGGGAGTTCACTCATGATTTGGCTCTCTGTTTTTCTGTTAATGGTTTAGAGGAATGCTTGTGATTTTTGCACATTAATTTTGTATCCTGAGACTTTGCTGAAGTTGCTTATCAGGATCCACTGATTGCAGAAAAAGACTTTCAGAGAGTTAGGAGGCTTTATGACATCCACCGCTACTACAGAAGTACAGCTTCATGACTGGAGCTTGCCTCAAAGCAAGACTCAGAGAGTAAAAAGAGAGAAAACGAAGACAGGAGATATTTCTACTGAACAATTTGTCCTGTAAGAAACCGACTTCCTGCTTTCTTTCCTCCATCCAAAAAGTAAGAGTTTTTCTTGGAGCTTTTTCTATCCAGAACTGCTGCAGACTTCCAGCATTCAGGCTGCTCTTGAGTATAAACCAGAAGATATGGTAGAGTTTTTTTAAGGTTGGGGAGTAGGAGGGGTGGGCAGTGGGCATGGTGGCTCATGCTTGAAATCCCAGCACTTTGGGATGCTGAGGTGGGAAGATTGCTTGAAGTTCAAAAACAGCTTGGGTAATGAAATGCGACCCTCATCTCTACTTTTTAAAAATAAAAATAAAAATAATGGGAAACTTGCTCCTGTATTCGTCACAATCTTCAAGATTTTATTTCCCTCATCAATATGTCTACTATTACTCTTCAAAGTTCTCAGATAGTTGCTTTATGTATTCTGTCTAGTTTTTAGTTGTAATCAAAGAGATGGGCAGACTGTGTTTAATCTATCACAGGCACTCAGAATTAATTTTGTCTACTTTCGTTTTATTCACTAAGTTTAGAATCTAAGTCTTAAGATTTTTACTCTCTTTGTTTTCTGAATCTCTTGCCATAGCAACTTTGATCAAAGAATCTTCAGATTTTGCAAGTTGTTCTTGCTCATATGAAAGCATTTAAAGCTGTAAAGGGACTCACAAATTATAGGAACATTGTGTCATGTTACCTGTGTTTGATTTGTTATGAGAAGTGCTTGGGTCATGTCCAGTTCTGCCTTTATCAGCTAGAAGATCTTGAGTAAGTTACCAAACCCCTCTGAACTGCAGTTTCCCCATCTTTAAAATAAAGATCATCTTACAAAACTCACAAGTTTGTTGTAAGAATTAAGTCAGACATTAGGGGTGTTAAGTCTGCCTATACAAGATACTCAATAAATGCCAACTATTTTTATCATTAGGAGCAGTCTGTATTGTTGACATTTATTTGACCAATTTTGGTCAAAGGATACTTTTCTTTGCTTTATAGCCTTGTTTTAGTGTTATGGTAAGAGTAATCATTAGACCTGCATAAAGATAATTGCAAACTATGGATGAGATCAGTCAGAAGTATCTCAATAATGAAGATTCATAGGGGATCTGTTTGATTGTACAGTAATCCCCTTTGTCCTTCATTTCACGTTCTTTGGTTTCAGTTACCTGTGGTCAACCACAGTCTGAAAATATTACATACTACAGTAAGACATTTTGAGAGAGAGACCATAGTCACATATTGTAGTATATTATTATAATTGTTCTATTTTATTATTAGTTATTGTTGTTAGTCTCTTACTATGCCCATTATAAATTAAACATCATCATAGGTATATATGTATAGGAAAAAACATGGTATATATAGGGTTCTGCACTATCTACAGTTTCAGGCATTCAATGGAGATCTTGGAATGTATTCCCCATGGATAAGTGAATACTACTTTTACTCTTGGTAAAAATGGTACATTTTTCAAAGAGGTGCAATTACAGAAGATGGCAGTGCCCCAATGACCAGAAAAAAACAGCCCCTTCTGGAGAAACATTTAGCAGGAATCTGACAATACAGAAAAGAGGCATCAAAGTGGTTGTAGAAACACAAAGAAGAGTATGAGAGTACAGTGATATATTCTGTCTTTGGTGGAAAACTTTTCCTCCAATACCTTTTTTTTGTTGTTGTTAACTGTAGCTTCAACTCATGTATTTCTTTGTTTCCTGAAATATCCTGGTACCAATTCTGTTCTATTAATCAATCCTCATTATAAATTCAAAACTGTGTCATTGCCTGGAATTTCTTTGTTGAAATGGAGGTCGCATTTTTAATAATCCAGCTTGCTTGGGGGCCTCTGATATTTTTTTCCATATGTTAATTAACTGTCATAACTTTTTTTTTTTTTTTCTTTCTCGTTTTCTATCGACTTTCTCATGTCTGGCAGGTTATAACTTGTTTCAAGATTTGCTTCTTGATCTTTTTTTTCTTGCTAGCTCTCTTGTTTATGACCTTACAGTGCTTGCCTGGGACTTTTTAATTGCATTCTATTTCAACACAAATGGCTTCTGAACTTTTTATTCTTCACATTTCTGGAATGATAATAAGTAATAGAGTCAAATTTAACTAAAGAAAAAGAATATCAAAAGTTCCCTAGAGCAGAACACAGAATAATACAGCATTTCATTAGTTTTCAACACCCACACTAGAAAGCTCACTAGTGATCATTCTTTTCCATTCTGTTGCCATCACTCTTGCATTCATAATGTCTGCTGTCATTTCAAAAGTGCCAAAAAGCAGTGATGATTTCTTCCACAGGGCAATGTAGGATGGAAAATGACCTGACCATTATTAAAGGGAAAGTATCAGTTATACTGAATATGAAATTCCACAACAACCAATAACCAAGTGTCTATTGAGTGCCTACTGTATATACCTAGCAATGAATGAAAATGACATATGTCAAAAGCTCCTTCTTTCTCTATTCCACCTCCTTTGATGCTCCCTGGTGGTCTTTAGTGCTCTTCCTCTATACTGTCCTGCTCTCCTCATTCTAATCAGCAATTTTTATCCCGAATATTCTTTCTTGAAAAACATAAACCTTAAAAGTTTCAAAGATTTGACTTGCCAGCCCCTCAGATCATGTGGGTACAAAAAATATTGACAGTCTCCTATAGACTGAATGTCTGTGTGCCCTTAAAATTCATAGGTTTGGTGGACAGAGCAAGATGGTTGAATTGGAGCAGCTCCAGTCTCCAGCTCCCAGAGCAAGCAACACACAAGATGGGTGATTTCTGCATTTCCAACTGAGGTACCGAGTTCATTTCACCAGAGAGTGCCTGACAATTGGTGCTGGTCAGCTGCTGCAGCCCGACCAGGGAGAGCTGAAGGAGGGCGAAGCATTGCCTCACCTGGGAAATGCAAGGGGGAAGGGAATCCCTTTTCCTAGCCAAGGGAACTGAGACACACAACACCTGGAAAATCGGGTAACTCCCACCCCAATACTAGGCTTTACCAAGGGTCTTAGCAAACAGCACACCAGATTATATCCCACACCTGAGCGGTAGGGTCCCACACCCGCTGAGCCTCCCTCATTGCTAGCACAACACAACAGTCTGCCATCTAACTGGCAAGGCGACAGCAAGTCTAAGGGAGGGGTGCCTGCCATTGTTGAGGCTTAAGTAGGTAAAAAAAGCCACTAGGAAGCTCGAACTGGGTGGAGCCCACAGCAGCTCAAGGAGGCCTTCCTGTCTCTGAAGGCTCCACCTCTGGGGACAGGGCACAGCTAAACAAACAAACAAAAAAAGCAGCAGAAACCTCTGCAGATGCAAATGACCCTGTCTGACAGCTTTGAAGAAAGCAGTGGGTCTCCCAACACGAGGTTGAGATCTGAGAATGGATAGACTGCCTGCTCAAGTGGGTCCCTGACCCCTGAGTAGCCTAACTAGGAGACATCCCCCACTAGGGGCAGACCAACACCCTACACCTCACACGGTGGGGTACACCGCAGAGATGAAGCTTCCAAAGCAAGAATCAGACAGGTACACTTGCTGTTCAGCAATATTCTATCTTCTGCAGCCTCTGCTGCTGATACACAGGCAAACAGGGTCTGGAATGGACCTCAAGCAATCTCCAACAGACCTACAGCTGAGGGTCCTGACTGTTAGAAGGAAAACTAACAAACAGGAAGGACACCCACAACAAAACCCCATCAGTACGTCACCATTATCAAAGACCAAAGGCAGATAAAACCACAAAGATGGGGAAAAAGCAGGACAGAAAAGCTGGAAATTCAAAAAATAAGAGTGCATCTCCACCTCTAAAGGAATGCAGCTCATCGCCAGCAACGGATCAAAGCTGGACGGAGAATGACTTTGACAAGTTGAGAGAAGAAGGCTTCAGTCCATCAAGCTTCTCAGAGCTAAAGGAGGAATTATATACCCAGTGCAAAGAAACTAAAAATCTTGAGAAAAGAATGGAAGAATGGATAACTAGAATAATCAATGCAGAGAAGGCCAGAAATGAACTGACAGAGATAAAAACCATGACATGGGAAATATGTGACAAATGCACAAGCTTCAGTAACCGACTCGATCAACTGGAAGAAAAAGTATCAGTGATTAAGGATCAAATGAATGAAATGAAGTGAGAAGAGAAACCAAAAGAACAAAGAAGAAAAAGAAATGAACAAAGCCTTCAAGAAGTATGGGATTATGTGAAAAGACCAAATCTACGTCTGATTGGGGTGCCTGAAAGTGAGGGGGAAAATGGAACCAAGTTGGAAAACACTCTTCAGGATATCATCCAGTAGAACTTCCCCAACCTAGTAAGGCAGGCCAACATTCAAATTCAGGAAATACAGAGAAGGCCACAAAGATAGTCCTTGAGAAGAGCAACTCCAAGACACATAATTGTCAGATTCACCAAAGTTGAAATGAAGGAAAAAATGTTAAGGGCAGCCAGAGAGAAAGGTTGGGTTACCCACAAAGGGAAGCCCATCAGACTAACAGCAGATCTCTCGGCAGAAACTCTCCAACCAGAAGAGAGTGGGGGCCAATATTCAACATTCTTAAAGAAAAGAATTTTCAACCCAGAATTAAATATCCAGTCAAACTAAGTTTCATAAGTGAAGGAGAAATAAAATCCTTTACAGATAAGCAAATGCTTAGAGATTTTGTCACCACCAGGCCTGCCTTACAAGAGACTCTGAAGGAAACACTAAAAATGGAAAGGATCAGCCGGTACCAGCCTTTGCACAAACATGCCAAAATGTAAAGACCATCAATGCTAGGAAGAAACTGCATCAACTAATGAGCAAAATAACCAGTTAATATCGTAATGACAGGATCAAGTTCACACATAACAATATTAACCTTAAATGTAAATTGACTAAATGGTCCAATTAAAAGACACAGACTGGCAAACTGGCTAAAGAGTCAAGACCCATCAGTTTGCTGTATTCAGGAGACCCATCTCACGTGCAGAGACACACATAGGCTCAAAATAAAGGGATGGAGGAAGATCTACCAAGCAAATGGAGAACAAAAAAAAGCAGGGGTTGCAATCCTAGTCTCTGATAAAACAGACTTTAAACCAGCAAAGATCAAAAGAGACAAAGAAGGCCATTACATAATGGTAAAGGGATCAATACAACAGGAAGAGCTAACTATCCTGAATATATATGCACCCTATACAAGAGCACCCAGATTCATAAAGCAAGTTAGAGATTTACAAAGAGACTTAGACTCCCATACAATAATAACAGGAGACTCCAACACCCCACTGTCAACATTAGACAGATCAACAGGCCAGAAAGTTAACAAGGATATCCAGGAATTGAACTCAACTCTGCAACAAGCGGACCTAATAGATATCTACAGAACTCTCCACCCCAAATCAACAGAATATACATTCTTCTCAGTACCACATCACACTTATTCCAAAATTGACCACATGATTGGAAGTAAAGCACTCCTCAGCAAATGTACAAGAACAGAAATTATAACAAACTGTCTCTCAGACCACAGTGCAATCAAACTAGAACTCAGGACTAAGAAACTCAATCAAAACTGCTCAGCTACATGGAAACTGAACAACCTGCTCCTGAATGACTACTGGGTACATAACGAAATGAAGGCAGAAATAAAGATGTTCTTTGAAACCAATGAGAACAAAGATACAACATACCAGAATCTCTGGGACACATTTAAAGCAGTATGTAGATGGAAATTTATAGCACTAAATGACCACAAGAGAGAGCTGGAAAGATCTAAAATTGACACCCTAACATTACAATTAAAAGAACTAGAGAAGCAAGAGCAAACACATTCAAAAGCTAGCAGAAGGCAAGAAATAACTAAGATCAGAGCAGAACTGAAGGAGATAGAGACACAAAAAACCCTCCAAAAAAATCAATGAATCCAGGAGGTCATTTTTTGAAAACATCAACAAAATTGATAGACTGCTAGCAAGACTAATAAAGAAGAAAAGAGAAAAGAATCAAATAGACGCAATAAAAATGATAAAGGGGATATCACCACTGACCCCACAGAAATACAAACTACCATCAGAGAATACTATAAACACCTCTACACAAATAAACTAGAAAACCTAGAAGAAATGGATAATTTCCTGGATACTTAACACTCTTCCAAGAGTAAATCAGGAAGAAGTTGAATCCCTGAATAGACCAATAGTAGGCTCTGAAATGGAGGCAAAAATTAATAGCCTACCAACCAAAAAGACTCCAGGACCAGACAGATTCACAGCTGAATTCCACCAGAGGTACAAGGAGGAGCTGATACCATTCCTTCTGAAACTATTCCAATCAATAGAAAAAGAGGAAATCCTCCCTAACTCATTTTATGAGGCCAACATCATCCTGATACCTAAGCCTGGCGGAGACACAACAAAAAAAGAGAATTTTAGACCACTATCCCTGATGAACATTGATGCAAAAATCCTCAATAAAATACTGGCAAACCGGATCCAGCAGCACATCAAAAAGCTTATCCACCATGATCAAGTGGGCTTCATCCCTGGGATGCAAGGCTGGTTCAACATATGCTAATCAATAAATGTAATCCAGCATATAAACAGAACCAAAGACAAACCACATGATTATCTCAATAGATGCAGAAAAGGCCTTTGACAAAATTCAACAGCGCGTTATGCTAAAAACTCTCAATAAATTCGGTATTGATGGAACATATCTCAAAATAATAAGAGCTATTTATGACAAACCCACAGCCAATATCATACTGAATGGGCAAAAATGGGAAGCATCGCCATTGAAAACTGGCAGAAGACAGGGATGCCCTCTCTCACCACTCCTATTCAACATAGTGTTGGAAGTTCTGGCTAGGGCAATCAGGCAAGAGAAAGAAATAAAGGTATTCGGTTAGGAAAAGAAGAAGTCAAATTGTCCCTGTTTGCAGATGACATGATTGTATATTTAGAAAACCCCATTGTCTCAGCCCAAAATCTCCTTAAGCTGATAAGCAACTTCAGCAAAGTCTCAGGATACAGAATTAACGTTTAAAAATCACAAGCATTCTTATACACCAGTAACAGACAAACAGAGAGCCAAATC